GGTGAAGGGAGGGCAGGGGTATGCGGGAAAAAACAAGAACCAAGATATATCATGTAAAGGTATAAGATCCCAATGATAAATGTAACTGTTTTGTTTGCTTTAAATGTACCATAAACTTAATGGGGTGGATACTTGATTTGTAGACTCATCTTAAAGTATTTGGGGTCTTCTAATGTCTTGAGAACTTCTTGTAGTCACATAGCAAACTACCAATAGGTGAACAATCAAAATTCTATAATAATCTCTGGTGTATGATTAGAGGGTAAGGTGATCTTGGAGATGTGGCAATCTGCAATTGCTTTTTGTATATAAGTCTCTGTGCTGCAGTAGCAAGCTTATTTTTTGCATTTTACTGCAGGTAAATAAAATTATCTGTTTAAAAAGGAAAAAGAAAAAGGGAAAAAGAATTCTAAAGAGAGACCTTGCAGCCCCATGAAAGAGGAGAATGGCCCCATCCTGCCCTAACTGCTGACACCCGCTATCTTCTGAACCCTGTGGAACAGAGCAACAGAGATAAAAAACAACAAAACTGACCTGATTGAGGACGAGACCAACACCCAAGAGGAAAGTTTCACTCCAGGACTGAAGGAAGTGTTGCACTACTGCAGAGACTGTGTGAGAGAAAGCCTTGGGAGATAGGATTGGAGAGGGTGAAGGCTAGGTACAGATCATCTGAGATCACTTGAGAAGCTCAAATTCATGCCAGGAAGATCATCGGACCTGTATTCTGTGCTGAGAGCCTAGATTTGGAGGGTGTAAACTTTAGAGGGGGTGAATCTGAAGGAGATGGAATTTAGTTCAGTGGTCTGCTTGAGCTTTTGCAGTAATGTCTATATCCAGCAGAAACTTAGTGGTCTAATTTAGTATAGGTCATTCTCTGCGTTGCCTGACTGTCCACTCTAAAATCAACACATAAAACTATTTTGCTCTGGTTAGGGTGGTTCATGAGTAGTTCTTAAGGTTTGTCAGTTTATATTTGACCTCATTGTTGTTACTGATTTTACTACTATAGCCATGGGGATACAGTTGGTGCTGCTAACTGGTTTTCTTTGTATGCCAATATCTAGATTGGGGGGGTTCATATAAAAATATTGTGGTTCATTCCTGAAGAACTGAGCAGTAGGGCAAAGAAGCTACAAACCCCAGCATAGAAAGCAAACAAAAAATAGAAACATGAGAAAAAAAGGTAACAAAATGCCTCCAAAAACTCCTATCTCCCCCAGAGTCAATCTGGGGGCATCTAATGGGAGAAAAACCATAATCCACACAGCTGAAATATCTGAAATAGTATCAATGGAGGCAACAAAATAGTTCAATAAGCTGTCTGATGAACTCAAACAAGATATAACTAAACAGATAATGAGTCACATGAAATAAATGATCAGTGAGTCTAGAGAAGATACTAGTAAAAATCTAGTGTGCTAAAGAAAGATGCAAAACATAAATGGCCAGCATAGAAAAAAAAGGGGGAGTTCATGAAAAAGTTACAAATAGAAATCCAGGCAATTAAAAATATGGTTGAAAGTATGGGCAGCAGAAGCAATCAGTGTGAAGAGAGAATATCAGATCTAGATGACAGAGCTGTGGTTAGCAATCAATTAATGAAAGACACCTTAAAAACGGCAAGAGAATATGAAAAATGGGTCAAACAGCTGCTAGATGACTCAAAGACTAATATGAGTAATTGGAATTAATAAAAAAAACCACAAGACAGCACAAAAGGCATTAAAAAAACTACTTACAAAAGTAATATCAGAAAACTTTCCAGACATCAGAAAAGAATTTAACGTACAGATAAGTGAGACATGTAGAATATTGAATATCCATGATCAGAAAAAATCCACTCCATGCCACATAATTAAAATACTAGAAAGAAAAAAGAGAGACAAAAATAAATAATAAATAAATACCAAGAATCCAAAACAAGAACAGAATCTTTAAAACTGCTAGAGAAAAGCAATGAATGACCTATAAAGTAAATATATCAAAATTATAACAGGATTCTCAACACAAACCTTAAAAGGAAGGAGAGCTTGGGATGAAGTGTTTCAAGATCTAAAACAAAGCAAAACAAAACAAAAAATTATTTCCAGTCCCAATTGATGTATCCTGCAAATTTATCTTTCAAAATTGATGGAAAAATAGATATTTCCATGTTAAAAGACAGCTAAAGAAGTTCACAACTCTTAAACCAACACTCTAAAAAATTCCTACAAAGAGACAATGAAGCTAACAATGCCAAAATGTCCCCAGTAGAATGAATGCATCAGGCAGGGCTAGCAGTTAAATAAAAGGGAAAGAAAGCAAAGGAGCAATAATAATGCAATGGCAGGAATAAGTCAATACCTATCAATTATAGCTATCAATGTGAATGGACTCAATTTGCCAATCAAAAACACAGATTAGCAGAATGGATCAATAAACAAAATCCAACAATATTATGTATAAAAGAAACACATCTAACACAAAAAAAATTCTTAGACTAAAAATCAAAGGATACAAAACAATATTCCATACAACAGGAACCTGAAAAAAAGCAGGAGTAGCTATCTTAGACTCAAAGTTCACTTTAAGCTAAAGCTGATCAAAAGAGAAAGAAGGGGAAGGGATTTAGCTCAGTGGTGTCACTTCCTGCCTTACAAGTGCACGGTCACTGGTGAGAGAGGGAGAGAGAGAGAGAGAGAGAGAGAGAGAGAGAGAGAGAGAGAACATTAAGAGAACATTACATATTGATTATACAATTATTCAACAGGGAGAGATAACAATTGTAAACATATATGTACCAAACCACAGTGCATCCAACTTCATAAAATGAATACTAATGGATATAAAAGATCAGACAAACATCAATACAATTACAGTGGGGGACTTCAAAACCCCACTGTCACAAATATATCAACTAATCAAAAAATTAACAATCATCAGAGTTGAATCAAACCTTTGAACAAATGGACTTAACACACTCATGACAGGGCCATAATACATATGTCGCACTGCTGAGTGGCTCTGATTTGAATGTGTTATGCTCCTTCTGGCTTGAGCCACCAATGGTACATTCATGACCATCCTATCAGGTGGCTGGGACATTCCATTGAGCAGTACAATCTGTCTGATGGATAGTCATGCATGCACCACCAGTACTTTAAGTTGGCAAGAACGTGTTAATAGGTACCTACAGAGTGCTCCATTCAACCACAGAATATATACATATATATTTTTCCAGCAGATGATTCTTTCTCTAAAACAGACCACACAATAGCTAGTAAAGCATGCCTAAGTAAATTCAAAAGAATGGAAATTTTACAGTGCATATTATCGGTTCATGTGTAGTGAAACTAGAAATCAATAGCAAAAGAAACCACAGAAACTATGCAAATATAGTTTGCCATTGATAAGCCAATGGGTCACATAAGAAATTAAGGAAGAAATAACAGTTCCTAGAATTAAATAATAATGCCAGTATAACATACCAGAATTTATGGAACACAATTTAAAAAATCTTTTAAGTGAAGTTTATAGTTATAAATGCCACATCAGAAAAACAGAACAAGCCCAAATAAATGACCTAACGATGCATCTCAAGGTCCTAGAAAACAAGGACAATCTCAATCCAGAGCTGGTATAAAGAAGGAAATTACAAAAATCAGAGAAGTAATCAATGAAATGGAGACTGAAAAAAAAATACAAAGAGTCCATGAATCAAAGACCTGGTTATCTGAAAGAATAAAGGAAACAGTCAAACTTTTGGTCAATCTTAACAAAAAAGGACAGAAAAGACACAAATCAATGCAACTGGAAACTTCAAAAGGCAAATCACAACAAACACTGCCAAAATCCAGGATATTATTAGCAACTATTTCATAAACCTGTATGCCAAAATATTGGAGAATTCAGAAAAAATGGAGAGATTTCTAGATACATATGAATTACCATAACTGAATAAAGAAGATTTAAGTATCTTGAAAAGCCAACAACAAGCAAGATTGGAAGATTTAAGTATCTTGAAAAGCCAACAACAAGCAAGATTGAAGCAAAAATAAAAAATCCTACTACTAAGAATAGCCAAGGTCCTGATGGATTCACAGCTGAATTCTACAGAAACTTCAGGGAAGATCTAATACCAATACTCCTAAAACTTTATAATAAAATTGAGAGGGAAAGAGTTCTCACAAAATCATTCTTGAAAGGTAACATTACCCTAATCCCCAAACTAGACAAGAATCTAACCAAAAAAGGGAACTACAGATCAATTTATCTAGTGAATGTAGAAATGTGCAAAATGTAGAAGGTGCAAAAATCCTCAACAAGATACTGGCAAACAGAATGCAATAAATCATCCATAAAATCATAGACCATGCCCAAGTAGGCTTCATCCCAGGGATGCAAGGATTGTTCAACATACACAAATTAACAAATGTAATTCATCACATAAAAAGAAACAAGAACAAAACTCACACGATCATCTCAATAGGCTCGGCAAAACGTTTGACAAAATCCAACATCCCCCATTCAGGATGAAAATCCTGAAAAAAATCCTAAATGTGGGTGGGAACTGATTTGTTTCTATCCAGTACATATGGCAAAGTGGTGGAGTGTTACTCCTGCAATTATATCATTGTTAGGAGATTCCGTCTTGCTAAGTGTCTTGTTCTTGCTTTCCTAACGATTTTGAGGGAGCAAGCACCGTGTAATGAACTGCCTTTGGAGGGCTCCAGATGGAAATCTGCAGATAGCTTGTAGGAGCTGAAGGTCTATAGATTATCTGCTAACAATTTCATTGGACCTGGAAGTGGACTCTTGTAGGGTTAAAAACTTAATGCATTGGCTGTCTGGAGAAAATTGCCTTCTCTCTTTTAACCTCTAGCTGACCTAGCAGGTCTGCTGATCTATCCAGTGAGCTTCCATTCACTAGTTCACACATAACCAAAAGGTGGAGATGAGGCTTTCTCACCTCTGGCAATGTTTCCACTAGTGCTTTCCAACCACCTGGCTTTCTGGCTGCACGTAGTCCTCAGAGTTTCCGTCATCTCCAGTGTTCTTGCTTTGGCCTCCACTGAAGCCAACATGAGGGTAGGTCACCTTGTTCTGCCATACTGGGCCTTAGGGCAGAAACGTTACTATTAATTCAATCTGAAAGTCGGAGCTGAGAGTGGGGGAAGCACTTTCTGTGCCCCACCTTGCTACATCATTAAACCGGCATGGCGGCTCCCATGTTGCTGTGATGAGAGGTGGTGCTTTCTAAGAGTCTGGACGAAGTTGTAGGTCCATCCTTTCCCCCCTCCCATTTCCTGTTTGTTTTCACTTGAAGGATTTAGGGAAAAGCAGAAGCAGTAAAGACAAGTTTAGAGTGGCAGAAAGACTCTTGTTCTCCACAGTTCTTAAATGCCTTTAGGCAAACTGCTAGGTGTAATGATAAGGAGTTTTAATTAGGGTTTTCATAATCAAGTCCAAGACCTCACAGGACTTGACTGAATAAACAGTCATTAGAAAAATAAGATGTAGGTGTGATGAAAGGTTCACAGGAAGAAGATGGAACCAAAACAGAGGCGAGCAGGTGATTCTGCTCTTCTTATCCCTTGATGTTTATGGCAAGTGCAGAACAGCAGGAAGAACTACACTTACCCTGCCCAGTCCTTCTCAGACCCTTGGACACTGCTCATTAGCCTGTACTTGGAGCTACAGCTGTAAGAGCTAATGGTGAATGTATCTGTAGTTCTGTTATAATCAGTTTGAATGTAAGCTTCATGAGAAGAGGAACTTGGTCATTATTTGCTACTGAAAACTTCTAGGGTCCAGGGCCTAACTCTGCAGCACTCAATAAATAGAAGGTATTTAGGAATATCTGTGGCTTGGTTAACTGATTATTTTATAAATTGTCGGTTATGTTGAAATGCTTTTATCAACATGTCCTATGTTGAAGGCAATAATTCTATAGTGTATTTGCTTGCCTAAAGATTTCCAGGCAATAGTTAAATGTTAGAGTTAATCCTTAGGTATATAATGAGCTTTACCACAATGCTAGTTCTACACACTGAAAGTTGTTTTTACAGGGTTTTTTGTTTCTTTTTTGGTTTAGTGTGCAAGGGTGTTTGTGGTGCTAAGATGGGAACCCCAACCTTGTGCATAGTAGGCAACTGCTGTACCACTCAGCCACAACCTTGGCCCTGTTTTTTGTTTTGCATAAACAAAAGATATAATCTTGAAATTACAGCAAAAATATATATGGTCACATTTGCAAATATCTTTATTTATTTTTTGGTGCCAGGGATCGAACTCGGGTCCTTACTCTTGTGAGGCAGGCGGTGACACCACTGAGCTAAGTCCCAGCTCACATTTACAAATATCAAATAAGACATTACTTTGAGAATAAAGGAAGTTATTATCATCAGTTTTTAGTGTACTGTAATAGTACTTCAATGCCATTCAATTTATTCAGTATTCATAAAGTATAACTGAAATATTTACATGTTATGAAATACAAACCCAGCCTTTCCTTTTATCCTTCGGAAATAACTAATTAATAACATACTGAATTTATAGTGGAGATGTTCAAATGTGGCTGGGGTTATAGCTCAATGGTAAAGCACTGGGCAAGATCCTGGGTTCAATTCCCAGCACACATGCACACGCACACACATGCTCATTGAGTTATATCAATGCAAAGGCGAGATAACGTGACCTGAACAGATAAAGGAGTCTGTAGAAAGAAGTGGAGTCGGATGGACTAGAAATAGCATCCCCCAAGACTCCTGCTTCCAAGGCCCAACTCTGGCCCTTCTCCTGCTATCCACTAGCACAAAAATGGCAAGTCTTCAAGAAACACACACTCAATGCCTAGGTTCCCCCTCTTCTGGACCATATACTGAGACACCCACACTCTGGTCAAACGTCCTGAGTGGTCTACTTCCAGGGTGTGCACAGGACTCCTTCTGTAGTGAATGACTGACTAGAAGGTAGACAGGTATCAGCGTGGTTGCTGGCTGGGGGGCACGTGACTGTTGGCCCGAGGCCAAGGCATGAGATCACTGAAGCCCAGAAGTTTGAGACCACTATGGCAAACATAGCCTGTTTATAAAAACAAAGGGAGCCTGAAGGCCAAAGGCTGACTCTTACTATACTACTACATTCTGTAACAGAACAAATTCTAAGTCAGACTTCAGCTTCCCAGGTTATTACAATGAGATTGGTTAAGGCAGGAAAATACAGCACACCTTTTTTTTTTAAATTGGATTATCTTATAACATTGAAATATTTAGACATAAATAATGTGTACTTTTGCTCCACAGCTGACAAATGTACTGGGCAGGACCGATCTGAAAGAAAGGGGAAAGAAAGGCTGATATGGAAGGAGAACAGATCATGAAGAAGAAATGCTAAAAAGCAAGTCCATGCGAGTGGTAAACGTGGATCTCTTATAATGCCTGAGAAGATGAACAGTAGATGGATTCTTCTTTTCAATTAACAAGAAAAGAAAAGCTCTTACCTGTACTTGCATATGTATAATTTATGGTGATCTTGTGGGCTACCTGCTTTCCTTTTTACAAATTCCTCTGCTGTTTAAATCAGGGTACAGGTGTATCTTGAAGACATTGTAGGCTGGGTTTCAGACCACTGCAATAAAGCAAATATTGCTATAACCGAGTCACACAAAGTTTCTGAGTGCATATAAAATTATATTGATATTCTACTCTAGACTATTAAATGTGTAATATCACTGATTTAAAATACATATTAGGGCTGGGGACTTAGCTCAGTGGTGCTGCAAAGTCCTGAGTTTGATCCCTGGTACAAAAAAAAAGTACATATTGAATGGATAAAGTGTGTGTGTGTGTGTGTGTGTGTGTGTGTGTGTGTGTGTGTGTTACTGGGGATCAAATTCAGAACCTTGTGTTTGCCCGGTAGATGCTGTTCCACTGAGCTAAATCTCCAGTCCTACAGTGTGGTATTTAAACACAATGTATTTATTACTAGTCGGCCATAATGGATAAACTTGAGTTATTTGTAGGCAAATGGATGCATCTTACTGTATAGAAGGTAATCATCAGGTACTGTAAACATGTATTGATAAAAATAAAAATAGAAGAAAGTGCATATCTTTATTTTTAAAACTTTATTGCTAGAAAATGCTAATGACCCTGTAATAAATCATAATAGCTTTGCTGGTGGAGGGTCTCGTCTTGATGGTAAAGGCTGCTGACTCATCAGGATGGTGGTTCCTAAAGGTTAGGCTGGTCGTAGCAATTTCTTCAAATAAAGAAACAATAAATTTATAGCATCAATTGCCTCTTCCTTTCATGAGCAATTTCTCTGTACTATGAGATGCTGTTTGGTAGGATTTTACCCTGGGTCTTGCTATGTAGTTCAGGCCAGCCTTGAACTCACTGGCCTCCAACGATGTAGTGAAATACAATCAATGTTGATAAAACACCCTTATATTTGAAGAATATGCCGTCTCTCACTTTTATAGCTAGAGAGAAGTTAATGCTGACTTCAAAGGACAGCCCAACCCTCTTGTTTAAGGGATAGTGCAGCTGGTAACTCAGTGCTGGAGCCATTCTGAAAATCCCAAGGCCCTTATGAACCCTAACTGTATTCTGTCTGTGATCTACAGTAATCTGTTTATAGAATGCCTTGCTGAATATTTAAGCTCACTGCTAAGGACTACTGCTCAGAAAAAATAGTATTCTTTTCAAAATATTCTGCTAACTGACAATGCAGCGTTCACCCAAGAGCTCTGATGGAGATGTACAGTGAGATTAATGTTGTTTTCAGGCCTGCTAACCATAGCCATTCTGCTCCCCGTGGATCAAGGAGTAATTTTGACTTTCAAATCTTATTATTTAAGAAATACATTTCAAGGCCAGGGATGTAGCTCAGTGGTGCCACCACCTGCCTCGCAAGAGCAACATCCTGAGTTCAATCCCCGGTACCAAAAAAAAAAAAAAAAAAAAAAGAAATACATTTCAAGCTGGCACACATCTGTAATCCCAGCACCTGGGAGGCTGAGGCAGGAGGGTTGCCATGAGTTTAAGGCTTTTTTTATCGAGACCACTACAACGTTGTGCATATCAGCATCAAGGCTGCTTCATGTTCTTACCATTCTTGTGTTTACTGGAGTAGCACTTTTAATCTATGTCAAGAACTTTTTTTTTTTTGCATTTACAACTTGCTGAAACAAGAGGCCTGGCTTTTGAGTTATCCACCTTTTGAACTGCATTCTAACTAAGCTTAATAATTTTTATTTATTTTTAAATAAAATATTTTAAAATATTTTTATTTATTTTATGTATTCATTTAAAACATTTACTGTTGCTGGGGATTGAATTCCTGAGGCCTTACATACTAGGCAAACATTCTAACATTAATCTAACACTCCTAACCTTTTTATTTTACTTAGAGATAGGATCTTGCTAAATTGTGCAGGTTGGACTTGAACTTAAAATTCTCCTGCTTCAGCCTCTTGAATATGTAGGAGTATAAGCATGTCCCACCATGCCTGGCTATTTCTAGATTTTGGTTTATTGTGAAAGATATCAATTCTTCCACTTGAAAACTAAGAATTTCACTTTATAACCATGATCGGCCTAACTTGTTGTTTTTGGTAGGAGGGATCGAACTCGGATCCCTCCGCTTGCGAAGCAGACGGCGGGAACCATTGAGCTAAATCCCCGATGATAGGCCTAACTTTAATATTGGCTTTTAGAAAATAGGAAAGCCAATGGAAAGGGAGAGAGACTAGAGAATAGCCACTTGGGGGAGTTAGAAAAACACATATCGGGGCTGGGGATTTAGCTCAGTGGTGCTGCAGCCTGCCTCGCAAGTGCAAGGTCCCAAGTGCAATTCCCGGTACAAAGAAAGAAAGAAAAAGAAAACACATCCGTGAACTTCACTTAATCGGGCATGGTTTGTGGCACCCAAACAATTGATGTACATTAGTAAAATCAGAGATTGAAGAACACATTAACAGACATTAACATGTGAAAATTTTTGAATTTTGAAACTATGAACCCCACTTAAAGCAAGTACCTATTGTTGAAAAAATGTCACCAACAGACTTACTTTATGCAGGGCTGCCACAAACTTGCAATTTGTAAACAACAAAGTATCTGTGAAACATGATAAAACAAAGTATGACAGTTGTACACTGCTGAATTGCAATTAAGACATTACCACAGTGTACAAGGAAAGTCAAGGATGACAGATGTATTCTATGATAACTCTAAACTAAAAAACAAAACTGGAATGAAATAAAATGTTCAACAATAGAAGAATTAGTAATTGTGGTTTATTCATGTGATTAAATGCTATGTATCCATTTAACATCATATTGTAGAAGACATTTTGTGGCTTGAGAAGTTGTTCATGATTGAAAAGAACAGAATAGAAAAGTTATATGTGATCTAACATCGGGTATGTTTATACGGATATTAAAAAGAATGCAAATAAATGTACTATAATGACAAGAGTAATGCGTTTCATTTGGTGGATTACAGATTTTTAAATTGTTCCATATTTCTAAATTTATTCAATGCATACTTATTGCCTTTATAATCAGAAAATATAAAACTAGCACAAATGCAGACACATATACACTCATGATTTGCAGCAGAGAAGAAAACAGTAGAGCTAAAAGTGACCTCCAAAGGACTCCAGTTAAATATGGGATTAGGACACATGTCTGCTCCATTCTCTTGCAATAATTTGTTGAGATGTTGAAAGGAAAATTATCATATAGAAGAGTAAAAAAGAATGAAACAGGAGTAAAGAGAATAAGTGAAGGACTAAATCATTATACAATTGGCTTTTAAAATTCCTTTCCTCCCTACCCATAATGCATGTGAAATAATTGATAGTTATCTTGAGCACAAAGTGTGAATGGAAAAAGAAAACAATTACTTTTACCAAAAGACAATTATCTGTGTAGGAGAAGGCTTCCTTCCTTCTCATCCTAACATTTTGAGGTTTCTGACCGATCAGATTTTTAAAGAAAGTCTGCTGTCAACAAGTTCTACTCAAATCACATAGAATTTTCTGTCTTTTCAGTCTAAGGAGAAGCCTCTTGAGGAAAAAGATCCAACAATCCAATTGCAAAGAAAACCCATACTGGTTTCTTGGAAAAATCAACCTCGTCTTTCACCCTTAAAGATGAATAGAATAATCACCTTATATGTGAAAAAAAAGGGGGCGAGAAAGATAAGGACCAAGATAGCTAAACACTTGACCACAGATATAATTTGGGAAATTGGGAAATTTTTTAAAATTAATATTTGAGAGAGAGAGATTTAAAAAGCCAGTAATCCATAAAATAAGAAAAGAATGCAAGGAAGTAAGAATATTTGTGTAAAGGAATAAATGTAGCTCCTAAAAATTGTGAAATATGATTTCCAAAATTTAAAAAATTAACAATACTGGTAGATAATGTAAAGAAGAAATTTTCTAGAATGTTGAACAAATAACCACATAGGGATGAAAAGTGGCTTCTAAGGTTCATCATTAGGGCTGGTATGTAGTCAGTGTTTGCCTAGCACGCCTGAGGGTCTGGGTTTGATCTCCAGCACACACACAAACCAAAAGCGTTCAGCATTTATGTTCCAAAAGAGAGGAGAGAAAATGGAGAGTAAATGATCGAAGGACAGAACCTTCAACGATTTACAGAAAGGTGAATCTGCCAAACACGAGCAATGAAGTAAGATCAGTGCTAGATAAATTATGAAACTTCAGGAGGCCAAATACAAAGAGATCATAAAAGGAGGGGAGAGGAAACAAACCACAAATAAGGGAATTTGAAGCCAACTGGCACAAGACTCATTATCAGTAATATTAGGTACCAGCAGACAGTGACTAATTTCTGCAAGATTTCTGCAAGATTCATTACTTTTCAACTTTTACAATCAAGTCATAGGAGAGAGAAGGTAATCTTAGCTACGGAAGAAAATGAAAAAATAAAAATAAGAGTGTGTCACAGCATTATTTATAACAAAAAATGTGGAAACACCAAAAATATCTATCAACTGTAATGAAAGGACAAACAAAAAGTAGAAATGTAGATAATGCAATATTATTTTCAAATAAAGAGAAATGAAGTAGTGACACATTGTACACATCGAGGAACTTCTCAAAAACATGCGGTTTAAGAAGGCCAGTCACAAAAGACTACATATTATAGGACCCTTTTTATATAAAGTGTCCACAAACGGCAAAGACGGCAAAAAGACAGGTGGCTCCGTAGGGCTGGAGATGTGGAGTGATGAGGAGTGACTGCTAACAGGCACAGTCTCTTCTTAGAGTACTGCAAATGTCCTAAAGATGGGTCATGGTGATGCCTGTACAACTGTAGGCACCCTAACTTCATGCTGGGCAAGTTACAGCTCACTAAGGCTGTTTTTTGAAAAAGCTAATAAATTTAGGAGGTGAAAAACTGAGCAGAGGGAAAAAGAAGAAAG